TAATATTAGCACGACCCAGCTACTTGCATGGAGATGCAATGTAGAGTCCTCGTGAGCTACAGACATGGAGATGTCTTAGCTGACTCGTGGGTGGACCTATTGGAGAATAGTTTGCACTGAATTGACCCACAAAGAGACATTACAAGAAAATCTCACAGATAATATCGATAGGTAATGTCTCTTATTATTTGGCTATGTCTTTCCTTAGACTTAACGTTGTCATATAGACCTGTGCTTTGGAAGGTTTGCTTTGATTGTATATCTTGTCTGCCTAAAACATGGAGACTCGTAGGTACACTCTTGGGCATGCCCTAAGGACTCAGGGCTAGTATGACAAGCTGAAAGAATTCGTCAATCTCTGTGAGAGATTAGGTTATCCATAGACCGATGAAACCAGGATGACATTTGTTGGAATTGGGAATCTATGCACAGTAAAGGAGTCATGAGATGGCTCGCTCTTTAAAGTCCATAAATGAAGATTCCTTGTTTTGGAAAAAGCTAACCCACCGCAGGGGTTGATATGTTTTCCTTGACCTAGGTCAATGTGACGGATAACCAAGAAGAAAGGATAATTCACACGGTAACTAAATAGGTATAACAGGTTGATCATTCAATGAACTCAACTAGCTCTGCAACAAAGCATTACTAGTGCTTTGTGTTGTCATTAGATGGATCGGGCCTAATGGGCCCAAATCCATTTATGTCAGTGGCTATGTTGGGCCTAATGGGTCGCACACAAACACCTTAAGTTGGTTTGGGCCCAATAAGGGATAATATGCCTAAGTTGGTAAAGCCACATATGGGGCCAAGAGAGAATATGTGGCATCATGGGCAAAGTTGGACTTGATCCATGATGTAACCTAATTAATTTAAGGGTTTACTTTTTCTGCAGCTACTGCAGATAAGTTATCTGCAGTAAGCCCAGTATGACGTCATTTTAGGACAGAAATCATGGTATTTTTGTAATTTTAATTTATTTCATGGTTATTTTAGTCTTTATGATTATAATTTTCTAATCTTTCAATCTTAAAACGACGTCGTTTTGAAAATAAATGCAGATAACTTATCTGCATTAACTGCAGAAATATTTTTCTATTAATTTAAATGTTAAATTAATAAAATTAATTTGAATTGTAATTTTTAATTTCAAATTTAAAATTTAAATTGAAATAAAAATAATTTAAATTCTAATTTCGAACTTAAAATCTAGCGTCCTTTAACTTAAAGTCTATCTTCAAATTTTTTATTCAAAATGTACATGTGTCTATAAATTTTGGTAAAATTTGTATTTTATCATGCTTTTTACAAAACCATTTTTTTAAAAAAAAATTATATAAAAATTTGATTTATTTCCTTTAATTTATGTTAGAAGCTTTCAAAAAAAAGTTTGAAAAATAGATATATCGTAAAACATATGCAAGAAAAAAACTATCCAAGTTTTGTATGGTAAAAATATGTTTTCCAGAGTATTTTTTAGACTACTGAATGTCATTCCTTTAATTGAGTAATTATTTATTTATTATTATTAAATTAGAAACAAATGGACACACGTGACTTTAAAAGTGAAAAATCTTGTGGAATAGATGTATTTAGGTGAATAAACTAATAGGTAAAATAAAATAATTAACGTAGATAAAGAGAAAGCATTTTTATGGCTTTTTAGCTTTCTTGGTTTTCGGTTTGGAATTGTCTAAGAAGTGAAAAAGGTTCAGAAACAATGAAGCGGAGAACTAAAAAGTTTTTTTTGTCTTTCAAAACTAAGGGATTGAAAAGTTTAGAGCCCATAAAATAAAAGTCAGAGACATTGATTTAAGAACTTCACAAAAAGAAAATAAAGCCTAACTTAAAATCTTGCTTGCTTTACCTTAAAGTCTATCTCTAAATTTTTTATTTAAAATATATGTGTGTCTTTAAATTTTTGTAAAATATGTATTTTACAAAGTAATTTTATTTTAAATATTTGTGTTAAATTTTTTTGATTTATTTCCTTTAATTTATGTTTAAGAATAATTTATGTTAGAAGCTTTAAAAAATAATTTTAAAAAAAGATATATCGTAAAACACATGCAAACAAAAAACGATCCAAGTTCTGATTGGTAAAAATATGTTTTCCATTTAGTATTTTTCAGACTATTTTGCATCCTTGCATTTTACCGTCTATTTATGATAGCTCATTTCTGTCATAGCACTTCATGCTTATTTCTTCTAAGGACTTTTCACAGCACAACATCTTCATCAGTCACAGAATTCCTTTGTCTAGCAAGGTGTCTCTGACTTTCAGCATCAAAACTAATTCAAAAAAAAAAAATTTTTGCTCATGTGTCAATATATTATATTAATAATATAGAATATAGAAATAATATAAATAATTCACCCAATAAAGTACAAAACAATGGGCGTGGAAGATTAACAAACAACGCAGTCTCTATAGAAGAAGTTGGTAAAATAAATGTAAACAATGTAGATAAAGAGATAACATTGATGAGGAAGTAAAAAACTACAAACATACAAATAATGAATAAGATTATGCAGAAGAACAACCTGAGAAGATGAAGAAGATAAATAGACAAAAACGAAAGAAATATGTGCACAGAAACTGAATACGAATAAAAAATATGCAATAATACATATCCTATTTATACACGAACTAAGAAGATTTTTTGAATTTTTTATAGATTAAAACTTAGTTTTTAAAGCTTTTAACAAAACAATCATTGGTTCGTTTGTAGACCCAAGAAATTAATTAATCTTAATAGATATAATAATAAATGTTATTAATAGCGTTAACAATTTCGGATGCAGAAAATAATAGTATTGTTAATAGGCTTAACAATTACTCACGTAGAAAGTACTGAATATTAATACAGCTGTTTGACACAAAAAAATTTAAACTCTTTTCCTACCTATTTGAAAAGTTACTAAATGAAAAAATATTTCAAAGTGGTTTCAAGTGCGAACACAAAATGGATATTGAAGAAGAGAGTGACACAAAATGAATATTATGTGTTTTATCATGTATTTTATAAAACTTTTTTTTAAATTTTTATAAAACAAATTCGATTTATTTCCAGCTTTTGCAAGTTCATCCATTCAGTATGTTTGCCATTTCTGGAAATCGTGTTACCCGATAGCTTAAGGTTATTCTTTTTGAATTGTGATATTAAAATATTAAATTAGCCTTTAACTTGACGAGATAAGATATTATTACTATCAAATGTTCCTACCACTAATTTATTACCAATTTAATATAGGGGTAAGATATTGTAACAACTAAGTAGAGTTACTACCAATCAATTTTACCGTTAGATTGATTTTTTATCCGATGGTCCTGATTTGATTCTTATATAGCCCGTCACTCTTCCTTTCTCTCCCCCCTTCTCTCTCTTCCCTTCTCTCTAACTGTACTCTTTACCACCGACGCCGCTGCACATAGCCGCCATCGCGCCGCCCACTCCACCGCCGCCTCCCTTCTCTCATGATTGAACTAGAGATAGACAAGGTGAATTGTATGATAACAGCAACTGCCATGGCCTTAGATTATTCGCTCTTAAGGTTAAAATCCCTAGAAAGAGTTAAGTGATTACGATACCAAGCGACTGAGTTTTGATTAATTTAGAATAATCGATCAAAAGTCATTAATCTAGGTAAACAATTGAAAACAAAGGTAAATCAAAACCTAATTACGTCTTTATTTTTAAATAATTAATTCAAACAAGTTCAAAGACCCAAAACACATGAAGAGAAAATGCTAATCAGATTGATCCTTTTTGGTTATCGATCCAAGTTTAATAATAATGCAGGTAGTTCTTTCATAAATTTTATATATTGAATAAAAACACCCGAACTAGTTTTCTTTACCACGTTTCATAATTTTGGGTTGTTACACTTTTGGAGTAAGGCGTCGGTGCCAGTACAAATGCTATTTGCCTTCTGACTATGTAACTCAAGAATGCGATCTTGAATCTCATTAAGTAGATCACCACATTGTAGGTTATTGTCTGAAATGGGACGGCGGCTATGGGCAGCGACGGCGGCGGTAGAGAATAAAGTCAGATAGAAAAGATGGGCTATATAAGGATCAAATCAGGACCGTCGGATCAAAAAATCAATCTAACGGTGAGATTGATTGGTAGTAACATGGTAGTAACCCTACTTGGTTGTTACAATATCCTACCCCTTTAATATAATTATGTATTACCGATAATACATTAAAAACTGTTTTTCTTTTGTTCTCTTCAAAAATTTTCCGAGATTGTCTACTGAAAAGTGAAATCCAATAGCTAAAAAGTGATAATAAATTGATAATAAGAATATTTGATAGTAAAAATATCTTACCTCCAACTTCATTATTATTTTTAAAAGCCATTATGTGAATAGTTATTACAGCATTGTTTACTGTAAACACTTCTTAGTTTATCTTCCTTGTGTTTACTCCCTCAAAAAAGTTTATCTTCCAAGTTTTGTTACATTCTTATAGGGGGCGTTTGATAGAAGATAATTTTTTTTTATCCGGAATCTCGATTTTCAAAAATATAATTTTTACGTTCAGTTTACGATAATATCCAAAAATTTAAAATTTAAAAAAATTCAGTTTCAATCCCGAAAAAAACCTCGTACCAAACGCCCCACAGGGATAAGTTATTTTTACAAAATCAAAATTTACAAAATATTACAAATTATACTATATATTATAGGTACTATATATTACTACATATTTAAATAATAATATTATTCATAATACATAATGTAATTTTAAGAATTTATAACATTGAAATTTGTAAATATGATCATTGTCATTCTTATATGCACTTTAATTTGAAATTTTTAATCTTTGATATTTTTCATTAATTAGAGTACAAATCTGTCAATATATAATATAAAATGATCATGATCTTGATGTTGTGTTTGACTGATGCATAAAAACAAAAACTCATCTTCATTATTTACTCCTACTCGGTTCAATACTTTAATGCTTTCATTGATGTTTCCAACCATTAACATATACCAACCCCAAGGAAAGGAGCGCCAAAACTTTCCACCCACTCCAACGGTGGCCCTTAAAAACTCTTAACCTCACTCAGTACGCACGCACGGTCTTTTGAAGTTAGTTCAGAATCAGGAACTTCACTCACTCCCTCAACCCACTCACAGTTCCTTTGCCAATGGCCGCTCACAGACTCGCTCTGATCATTCAAAACCCTTCAAACGACGATGAGTTTCTGCTCGTGAAGCAGTCTCGCCCTCCCAAATTCCAAGATGAAGAGTACGATTCTTTCGTCGATTCTGATCTCTGGGACTTGCCCTCCGCGCAGTTGAACCCGCTGCAAGCAGAATTGGAGCCCCCGTTTGAGGTGGAAATTGCGGATTCCCATTCAGAGGAGGTCAATTTGAGGGAATTCGACATCCGTTCGGCTCTCAACGAAGTAGAGTTCTTGAGTTTTAGATTTATTTATTTATTTGAGTTTTTATGCTTTGGTGATGATGAATTCGTGTTAAATGGTTTTGAAATTAGGTGTTTCGGCAAATAGGTTTTGGGGCAGTTGAAGGGACAGAGTGGAAGTTCTATAAGTATGCGAAGGAAGCTGCGTTTGGACCCGGTTTGCCCGTTAATACAGTCTTCATTGTGGGAAAATTGATAGCTGAGGACAAGGACTTTCGAGGTTTGCTTGTATTTCCAGTTTGTTGTAGTTGACATTGCAATTATTATTATTATTTTATTTTAGTAGAAGATGTATGAATTGGGTTGTGTGCTATCAATTTTTTGAGCAATTATATTGATTTTTTTGTGTGCTCATGCCCTAAGATGGTGATGCTGGTTTGTTTACCATGTCCAGCTAGTCTGTCTGTTACTCTGTTTTGTTCAAATTAGAGAGTGTTGAGAGCAAATTCTTTTTTAAGAAAATATGTTAACAAGTAAACGTAATGTCTTAATGTTTAACCTTTTGATATGCATTGGAAAGCTGTATTGTGTTTGTGTCTTTTAGTTTGTTTTTATTTGGAAAAGTTCCTCTTCCTCTTTCATCTCGATAAATTTTTTTATTTTCAGTGTATGATATAGATTGGGGAGTAGTACAAAAGATAAACGTCAAACAGAAACAGGCAGAATGGGAGACGTGTCAGGGGCTTAATATTTTGCATATCCACAGCATGTGGTTGACTTCTCTGGTGTCGCAGAACAACAGTTCAATATTATCTGACACTGAGAGAGGCTTGGAATTTTCCAAGTTCGGGTCCAATCTGTTTCTTTTATTTTCATTTCTTTCGAGTGGATGGGTGGCTGATTGATGTCTCAGTGGAAAAAAAATGAAAGTGGCTTCTGTTTTGCAAATGCTTTTCCCACAGATGAGTCCTTGTTATTAGTGTAGTATCTGCTAGTGATGTAGATAGTTTAAATGAATAGCAACTGATTCACTAAAATCAATATGAATGTTTACTTTCATGCAATGTTAATCTTTCTTCGCCTATATCTTTTTTAAATGTGAATGCGATAATATGTTTACAACATGTGTGATTAATTGTAGAATTGTATAACTCTATATGCAGATTCTTATAAATGGATGTCCGTTCAAAGCTGTCTTAACTGGCTTCTGGAAGTGAAACCACAAGGTGATCGTGTTGGACCGTTGGTAGTTGTTGGTCTTATTAATGACACATCTGTCTCCACAAAGTGGAAAGTCCCTCCAGCCATAAACTATCAGGTTTGCTTTCTTTAAATTTCCTCTGTTTCCATGGTGGGGCATTTATTGGGAATTAAAATTTTAGAAATAAATCTGGAAGCAGTTATATAGGAGAAGCTTTGCTTTCAAAAATTAGGACAAGAATTTCAAATGACCTATAAGCCACTTGTTTTTAGTGGAGATTCTAAGATATCTTATTAAAGGAAGTCTCATAGAGACGGATAATCTCCATAAATATTAATTTTCCAAACCCTGTCATGTCTTTTTTTAAATTATTTAATGCTAAGGCAAGACTCTAGTGTTGAGATTTGTCATATGGTTTGCTTCCTAGATTTCCACCGCCCTCCTATGTATTCACTGCCAAATGTGCTAACTCACTTTGTTAACTGCTTATTAGTTCAAAGGATAAAGAACCTCCTCCAGATCAGTGAGTTGTTGAAACTTAAAAATGTCACATGTACTGTTCATTTTCAGCAACTCAAAATTTACATCTTAAACTATTTATTCAAAGATTATAGCTGCAGTTTGATATTCGTGTACAAAGGAAAGGAGAAAGAGGAAGTTTACTTTTTATTATTCCAATTCATTATGTTTATGATCTGGTGCAAAATGAAGATTTATTTTCATTTTCAGGAGTACCCGCCTGGTGTTATACTTATACCTATGGGAAGTAGGACAGCAAAGCCTTTTTGCACAACAAACTTGGTTGTGTTTGCACCTGAGAATGTTCCAAATGATTCCGAGGATAATAATTTTATTGCATGTGGAGATGCACTAATAATTGATCCAGGATGTCTATCAGCATTCCATGGAGAGGTATAGTTCCACATAACAAACAAGCTTGTGCAGTTAGTCCATGTCATTTTGGCCTTTGAGTCATCTTTTACCCTTCTGTTTTTTATTCCATGTTTATGGGATGCATTTCATTTCTATACTTCCTTCACACTCGATTATTCTGATTTGACTGTTTCTTAATATAACTTAAAATTACTTATTGATAGCAAAAACAGAAACAAATCCTATTTGTTTGAATTTATCTGCTTTTTTTTTTTTTTTTCTTTTTTCTGCTCAAATACAAGTGGTAGGATTTTTGAGGAATTTACATGGAGAAATACTTTCTGATGTTTTGCCACCCTCCCCCTAATATCCTACCTTCTATGAATCCATCCTTTCCCCTGTATATAGTGGTTAATTTCCACATTATCTGATTTTGAAATTTTCCTACTTTTCAATTAAATCTTAACATATTACTCTGTAATTATCAGCTAAAGAAAGTTGTAGCCGCATTGCCAAGAAGGCTAGTGGTCTTTGTCACTCATCATCATCGTGACCATGTAGATGGTAAGTTTTTGCTAAAACTGTAGTGAATTGTATTCTTTTTTAGGGTGATTATGCATGAGTATAGGTGGTGAATGGTGAGGAAGTCATCATAAATAATCCTTTTTACTTTGTTATTTCTTTACTAAAGCTAAGGGAGAACCAAAAAGAAGCTAAGGACATAATCTTATCTTTGTTGGTTCTGCAATCAAGTGTACCTTGTAAATCATCACTTTTTTCTCTCTTCTGGCATAAGCAATTGTCTGTAATGGATACTCTAGTACTTGGAGACTTACATTTCAAATGTTTTTATAAATTAAATTGTGAGTATACTCTTTTAATTCTCGTATTTTCACTCTTTATGACAGGTCTCTCAGTTATCCAGAAGTGCAATCCTGATGCTACTTTGTTAGCACATGAAAATACCATGCATCGCATAAGCAGAGGTTTAATGTTAGTTTTTGTTTTTATTTCTATAATGTTCTTCGAGACACTTTGCAAACATGAATTTTTCCTTCCTAGTTTTGCGTTAAGCAACTAGAACAGATAATAAAATAAAATTATGCTGCTAGATTAGCTACATGCATCCATGCTGAAATGAAATATTTTCTTTATTTGTCATAAATGACATATCTTTGCTATCATGACTTTGCTATGAATTTTAAAATGGTCGCATTAGAATAGCAAAACCCAACTTTTGGTACCTTCTGCATTAGGACTTGTTTGGCAAGAGATGCTATAGGGTATGCTTGGTGTATTTTTATGCAATAAGAATCTAGATGCGGTGGTTATGGGGGAAATTTCCAGATAAGAGGGAGGAAGCAGTACATCTGGTTGCATTAATTTTTGTGTGTGATGGATATTAATTTTTTGCACCGAGGTCCTGAGGATTAGAATTCTCCTAACACGGTGTTTGGATGGAATCATTAAAAAATGGAATTTATTTGATTGATTTAGAAACCAATTACCATATTTGTAACTCATTTAAAAAATAATTTGAATTGATTTACAAATTAATTTCATGTTTGGAACACATCACAAAAAAATCAAATTTATTTTATTTTAATAATTTTGTGCTTTCCTTTAACAGCATCCTTACGAAGATGCAAGGGTAAGGCTAGACCCTTGCAAAGTTAGGGAGCCTTTGTGTACTAGGGTTTGTCCTTAATTTTATGCTTCTTCCCATCACTTAGAATAATATGATTTCTCTCTCTCAAAATCTAATAAGGGAAAAATCATCAATTCAAATAATTAAAACAAATAAAATCAAATCCACTCATATTCCACCAGATTTGAGAGGATATCTACATGTACAGACAACTTAAATCCAAAGGATTTCAATCTGAAATCAATTCCTATTTAATAACTTTCTTGACAAATAAAACAAACTAGTTCCCAAGTTTTATAAAGCCGTTAAACTAAATTTCTATGATTACAGGTGATTGGTCACTTGGCTATACCTCAGTTACTGGAGATGAGGACATTTATATTGGTGGTCAGAGATTGAAAGTTATTTTTGCAGCGGTATTTTTCACATGCATAATTCTTTCGTGTATAGTACTGGTTGTGTTGCAATAACTTCAATTTTCTGGACCTTATGTTCTATATAAATTTGAAGACGTCCTTTAAGATGTATGACTAGGGTAATGGCTCATCCACTTCACTGTTTTAACATTACCTTATAGGACGGAGAACTTTTACAAAAAGATCTGTTATAGTTGTACATCAAAAATATTCACGTGCCGTATTTTATGATGAAAGTTAACAATTTAACATGGCATAATGGTTTCTTCAAACATGAACTTGTGTCCATGCTTTAAAACAAAACGCTTTTGCATGAAGAGGTGTCTCGAAGTTGTAAATAAAAAACCATACATGACTGTTTCCCAGTAGTGTGGTGAGAAAATATTAATGTGCATATAGTTTGTGGGAATGTTATATGTTTCCATTTTCTATTTTCACTAATAATTACAAAAATGCCACTTTGTTTCACGTTTTCAAAGATTTGTACATGAAATGGTGAAGGCTGGAAAACAAGAAACAAAGTGAAAATAAGGTGGCAATTTTTTTAATTATTAGTGAAAACAGAATGAAAACAAATAATTTCCACACACCAAACACACCTTTATATTCTTTATAAAATTGCTTCTATTTTCTGATGAAGATGACAATTCTCTTCGGTTCAGGGACATACAGATGGTCATATGGCGCTACTTCACGTGAATACTCATTCATTGATTGTAGGTGATCATTGTGTGGGGTAAGATTCCATACAATACCATGGTTCATACAATAAACAAAGATCAAATTCTTACTATGACATATGCATACACATTCAAATTTCACACACACACACACACATATATATATATAGGGACAGAATCCTTTGATACCGGTGTCAAACTTTTTAACTATTGATTTCCGTGAATTTAACGGTTATAATTTATTGAGTCATATTTATTAATTAATTCTTAATAAATTATAACCGTCAGATTGATGGAAATCAATAGTTAAGATTCAGTGTCAAATGATCTTGTCCCATATATATATATATATATATATATATATATATATATATATATATATATATTTTCTCGTATTTATGCATATTTGGATAGTTGTACAACTTTCCATGCATTTGAATACCTTATCTGGGACAATGTCTCGGTTGGACTGTTGTAAATACTTGAAATTGTAGTAAACAAGTTTTTTTGTTATGACGTCTTTTTCTCGGTTGAAGTGCATGGGGAGTTGTTTCTGCACTAATTTATACTAATTACTAATTAGTTTATTATTTTATCAAAAACAGAAAAAGGCCTATTGAACAAGTTGGTTAAGTTTGACAGTTTATGAGACTATTGAAATTAGCTTGTTTGCTGTCTAGAAGTAAATAAGACTGCTTTAGCTACATTCGGATGCTCCTCCTTTTATTTTTATGTCAATTAATTTATTAAAAGCACAGATACAGGGAGGACACAGATATGATAGGATTATTATAAGAGGATCATTCAATTTGATTTACCTCTGCGAAAATCCTCTTCTCAAAATTTAACCAGGGAATAGGTAGTCTACATAGATTTGATTTAAAGAAAGAAATGGTTTGGGATGCTAAAATTTGTGTCATATTGTTCAATGTCCAAGCCGTCTAATTTCCTCTTTGCAGTTCCAATATTTTCTATGACCTACATCATCTTCAAGGTCGTTTTGTTAATCACTCCACTCTACAAATATGTTATTTCACTTTTGTTTCAGTCAGGGAAGTGCTCTCTTGGACGTAACTTCAGGTGGAAATATGACTGTAAGTGCAAAAAGACCGAGTATGTTGGACATGCCTATGTTCTTGTTATTATTTATAGACAACGCCAAAAATATTATTATTGACTATGAGTAAGACCCATTACTCTGCATTGCTGGCTTCAACTTCTCTAAATGAATGATGCACTCCCTGCAGTTTAGATAATAAACTGCACTTTAACAAAGCAACCATTGATAAAAGAAAAGAATTTAATAATACCTGTGAATTAGATGTCTTAATATTATTGTCATTTGCAGGAATACTTTCAAACCACATACAAATTTCTGGAGCTTTCACCACATGCTTTAATACCAATGCATGGGAGAGTTAATCTCTGGCCAAAGCAGATGCTGTGTGGATATCTTAAGTATTAACCATCAATCAATTCATTCCCTTAACTGAACAAGTTATTATTTATAGTTGATATTTTATATCAGTCACCAACTGTGTGAGGATTGTTGTCATTATTTTCAGGAATCGTAGGAGTAGAGAAGCTAATATCTTGAAAGCAATTGATGGTGGAGCGAAAACATTGTTCGACATTGTTGCGTATGTATATTGTGATGTTGACCGCCGTGCCTGGATTGCTGCATCATCAAATGTGAGGCTCCATGTGGATCATCTAGCCCAGCAACATAAGTTACCAAAGGTAAATAACAAATAAGCTTTAAGCTTTAAACACTTCCCACGTATCTTTGAGAAATTCTTAGTATCTATTGGTGAAAAATCCACCGAGCCCATGGGCATATAAGGCCTAGGAATTCTGGCCTTGTCAGCTTTCTCTGCTTGGTTGTTGTCATTCACATTCACTGCATGCTCTGCTTCTCTACCTTTACTCTCTGTTCCCAGAGAGATTTTTACATACTCTGGGAGTATTACACCACTCCAGTAAGAATGTAGCATGTGACACCGCAATGCATAACCATATATGCCATTGGATCAAAAATAAAATACTTACAAATTTAAACAGTTATAAAACTGCCTTAGAGTATTACTCTGGGAGTATATAATGATTTCTTCTCTTTCCTGCCCGCGCTCTTCTCTCTTTCATGCTCTCTCCTCCTGGTTTGCGTTTGTCTTGTCTTATACGCTCCAGTTTTGTTGTATTTATCTTTTTCCGTTTTTTCCCTTGTAAAACTAAGGGAATATTTTCCTTTTTTATGTGATATTTGTTTTGAAAAATTATAACAAAAAAAGAAGATAATTATATCAAATTTTAAACTTCTCAAACTAACACAAATAAAATAATATTTCTTTTAATAACTTCAGAAAAATATTTCTGCAGTTACTGCAGATAAGTTATCTGCATTTACTCCCAAAATGACGTCGTTTTGGGATTGAAATATTAAAAAATTATAATTATAGAGACTATAATAACCCTGAAATAAATTAAAATTACAAAAACACCATGATTTCTGCCCAAAACGACATCGTATTGGGCTTACTGCAGAAAAAGCGAACCCTAATAATTTTATACAATTTAAACTCAATATCAATTTTATATATATATATATGACAAAAATATTTTTCTCTTTGCGGTAGAAAAACTTTGTTTGCCATAGACACATTTTTATCGGTATCTGACATCGAATCCTGTTTTTTTTTTTTTTAAAAAAAAATGAGGATCCATTATTAGATCCTGGTGAATATGTATCTATGGCAGATAAATCTTTTTGCCATAGCTGCAAAAAGATGGAACCCTATATATATATATGTGTGTGTGTGTCAATGGCAGACAAAGTTTTTCTATCACAAAGAAATTTTTTTTTTGCCATATATATATATATGAATATAGGGAAATAATTATCTCATGTTGCATGAGATAATTATCTCATGCAACAGAGACAAAGTAGTGGGGTCCATTATTTTTTATTATTTTTTAAAAAGTAGTGGACTCCACTGTCTTATCTTTGTTGCATGAGATAATTATCTCATGCAACATGAGATAAATAGATCCTATATATATATATATATATATATATATATATATATATATATGGGAAAAGTATTTCTCCAATCACTGGAGATAAAGTTATCTCCAGTGAGCTCAAAACGACGTCGTTTTTATAAGATTAAAAAATTATAATGATAAAGACTAATATAACCCAGTAATGTATTAGAATTACAAAAACACTTTGATTTCCGTCCCAAACCGACGTCGTTTTGGGCTCACCTGAGATAATTTATCTCCATTGACTGGAGAAATCCTTTACCCTATATATATATACCCTATATATATATATATATATATATATATATATATATATATATAGGTTTATTGTTTCTCAAATTGTTTGAGATAACTTTATCTCCGGCTACTAAATCATAACCGTACAAAGATGGATCAATGGTGATGAAGGAAGAGAGAGAAAAAAGGAATCATAACCATTCAAAGGTGAATCAATTAATATAAGGAAATAAATAAACAAAACGACGTAGTTTTATATATATATATATTGGGGAAGGATCATCATATACCATATAATAATAACAAATCTTACACCCAATTTTAATTGTGGATCTACTCGCATCTAAATGCTCTAATTTATTAGTCACATCAAGTGGAATCAATAATTAAAATTAAGAGTATAATTACACGCGTATAAAATGATCTTGCCGCATATATATATATATTAGAGATAATATGTCATCTTAAGTTTTTTAAAAAATTGTTGTATTTGTTTATTAAATTGTATCTTTTCATATCAATTCCTCGTGTCCATATTTATACAACATTATTTTATTTCATACCTTAGGTTTGTATGCATGTCAATCATTTGTGAGATTTACTTTTATTATACCGGCGGACACTTCCTAGCATAGAGCTGAGATGCAGCAGTATATACTAAGTTACATACTTTTCTTACAAAAGAAATTCATAGAAATGCCACACGAATTATTGAAAGCATGCTATTTAGTTAATGATATCTAACAATTATTTTTTATTGTATGATATCTAATTTCTATTATATTATGTATGATTCATTTATTTTTATAATATCATTATTTCTTGTTGATTATTTTTATTGGACCTGAAAAATAACCTAGAGCCTTGACTGACTTGATGTACAGTCTGGATTTGATATGCATGCAATGCTTACTCCATATATCTTTTTTCGGCTCTCTCCATTATTCTTTGTTTTCCTTTCCTACTTTAGCAAAAGCTTTGTCGTGCTTCAATAAAATACAAAATAACCCCCTCTTGTAAATAGGACAAAATGGTTATCTGACTGTTCAAATAATGTGAAAAATTCGCTTCATAAACTGCCAAATACCTCTGCTCAATATCTAATCTACAATAGACATATAGAAAATAATCTACCTGTTTTCATGTTCATATGTGATTATTTTGGGTAGTGTCTTGAGAAAATTCTTCAACAAGTATATTTGAATTAGTGATAAACTAACATTCGGAATTCTATGCAACTTAGACAATGTGTGTGAGAATGTGCAGGATTTTTCTCTAGAGACTTACAATTCCAGTTTGGCTGCATTTGCTGACAATGTGGGTAAACTATAAGTAGGAATAGCTGCAATGGCTACCTATCAGCTTCTTCCATTTCATTTTCTCTGGAAAACGTGTATCTCTATCCTCAAAGTTCATTGTTTGCGTTGAAATTGCTCTAAATAATGGGAACTCCAAGAAATAGTTGTATGAAATATATAGCTTGTGTAATAATCTGAGAGAGGAATTACTTGTGAGGTTGGCTGTTATTGCCTCGTGGAACTGACAGGACATAGTGCACCTATCCTAGGATTTTTCATTCCAGAAGTTCAACAGTACCTGTGGACTGCATTTTCTATCTCGATGGATGTGGGCTTACACTAGTGGCAGTTTACATCTGGGGAAATCTTCATTTCTTATTGGTGGTGTTTTGGCTGGCGTTGCTGTATTGTACTCTCTCAAAAGCAAGTTCAGTAAATAGAAAGGTGTACCTACATAGGAGTATGTGGTGATCGTGCTTGAACTGTTGGCGGCTAGTTTTTATTCGTTTGCCGTTAAGTTTTAAAATGATTGTTGGTGCAATTTGGACGAGCATAGTACTACTGGTTGGTCTTCCGTGGTTTGTGTCTTCCGAAGAACATCTCTCGTGGGCATCCTGACCCTGACAAGGTCGAGGCATCTCTCGTGGGCATCCTCTTTCCCTATATGTATACATTAGTGTGGTGTTTTAGTTCTCTCTTTCTTCCCCTAAGTAAATGCTGCTGGGCTTCTCCTAGGGCGGGACATAGTCTCCTCGATACAAGATAAATACCTTTGCATACAGAAACAAATAAACATTAATGGGCTGTTTGGTACATGGTAATAAAAGGGATACCCAAGAATTTAATAGTGGGAATTATTTATACCCATATTTGGTACGAGGAAAACATAAATTATGCCTTGGAATATTTTGTGATCAGGTATCCATTTAACACTACCGATAGGCCAAAATAAATACCTACTTCCACATGGTAATTTTTTATACCTGTCTACTGGCTATCAATTTACATTTTTTTGCAGACAAAAATACCCTTGTGAGCCCTAGCATAAGTTATGTTCGAAGAAGCTATTTTCCTCTGAATAACAATGTTGCTGTGGAGGTAGCCCATCGACGGAAACTTCTCTGGTTTGTTCGAACATTTTTTGTTGTCTTTGTTGCCTCCGTTTTGTGATGTTTCACAAATCGGTAATATTAGTTTCACAAATCGGTAATATTCCATACTAATATTCCATGCCATGAGTGAAATATATAAACATTTTATGATCTTTATCTACGGGAAGATATACTTGTGGGCAAGGCTGACTTGTTTACATGTGTATGGTAAGGCTAGAATGGCACAATCGCAGTTCAACTGATTGCAGGGAAACCCAGTATGAAATGATGTTGATGAACTTGCGTCCTTTTCCACTCTATAATGGTTGATGAAAAATGGTATGCTGATAACGTGGTTATGGACTTACTTGGTTGATGAAAATTGATGATTTCTTCACGATTTGGGAATATGCAATTTCAAAATCGATACAGTGCAAAATTAGGTCACCAACGAAATGGATTGTTCTTTTGGCACTGCTGTTTTATGAATTTTGTTTCTAAAACATCGTGTTTAAAGTTATCTATTACGAGGGAGCGAGGGTAGTTTCGTAAAAGTTACTTATTTTTTCAGTAATATTTTAACATCAACCAAACACCCGTACAATAAAATTAATAAATATTTTCGGTAATATTTTAGCCTACCAAACACTCTTTTCGTATTATTTTCGGTCACCTTTTTTTCCAACTATATTTTTAGTAATCGTGATACCCATATACTAAAAAAATTACTCTTATACCAAACGTCCCAACTCCCAAGGGGTTATTAGATATTCCGAACCATGTCAGGGTAGATTCTTAGATTCATTTGATTGATTTTTTCTCAAAGGAAAAGTAAATTATATGCAAACCTTAAACGCGTAAGCCATGGAAACCAGCCTAAAGTTATAATATTTTGGAATGTAAGAGGACGTAAACATTAAATGGAACTGCCGTGTTAGGCATGAATTGAAGTCATCAAAATTTTAGAAGGGGTGGCTTGATGTTTGCTTATATATATATATATATATATATATATATATATATATATATATGAAAGTATTAAATGTGAGGAATCATAATATACAAAAGATGAAAGCATTAAATATGGAGAATTATAACTATACATCTTGTTGTACGTAAAGCGGCTGTGAAAATGATTATATATATATGGGAAAAACTATTCTTATGTCACACGAGACAAATTTTTTCTCCTACACATCCTTCGATAACTGTGTCACTTTTTTCTTTTCTTTTATTTTATTTTTTCAGGTGGTGGAGCCCACTAGTTTGTCTTTATGACATTAGATAACTATCTCCTTTAATATGAGATTAATAAAACCCTATATATATAGAGGAAGGTTATACTTACAACTTTTTTTTTACAACCTCTTACAACCATATCTTAACACCGTTGATTTTCGCCAATCAACGATTATGATTTTCGCAAATTAAACTCATTAATTAATTATTAATTCTCAATAAATGATAACCGTTGATTGGCAAAAATCAACGGTGTTAAGATATGGTTGTAAGAGGTTATAAAAAAAAGGTTGTAAGTATAACCTTCCTCATATATATATATATATATATATATATATATATATATATATATATATATGGGCTTATCATTTCTCAAACTGCTTGAGATAATCTTATCTCCGGCTACTAAATCATAATCGTACAAAGATGGATCAATGGTGATAAAGGAAGAGAGAGAAAAAGAGAATCATAATCATTCAAAGGTAAATCAATTAATATATAGGGAAAAATATTTCTCAAGCAGTTTGAGATAAATTTATCTCCGGCTACTCCAAAACTACATCGTTTTATTTATTTATTTTCTTATATTAATTGATTTACCTTTGAATGGTTATGATTCCCTTTTTCACTCTATTTCTTTATCACCATTGATCCATCTTTGTACGGTTATGATTTAGTAGCCGGAGATAAGATTATCTCAAGCAGCTTGAGAAACGATAAGCCCATATATATATAGGATATTTTGACAACAGTATTAAACTTTAAAATTTGACACCAAATCCTAATCGTTGATTTCCGCCAATCAACGATGATCATCTATTAGAAATTAAACTTATTAATTAATTATTAATTCTCAATAAATGATAACTTTTGATTGAGATTTTAAAGTATTGGATTAAGATTCTAGGGGTTGTATTGGATTGAGATTTTAAAATATTTTAATGGATTGTTTTAGGATAAAAAAATTCATTAGTATTTAATTAAGATTTTAAAAGATTGAAAAAAAAAATCATGTAATATTCGATTAGAATTTTAAAATATTATTTTAGAGTCTGTTCAAATCTGGTGGTATTTAATCAAGATTTTAAACAAAGGAAAACAATCTTTTGGTATTGATGAATTTGACGACTTTAATGGATTTTTTATTGGTGTGAATTTCGTGAGATTTTTTAGTGATAAATATAAATAAGATGTTTCTTCCACAATCTTACCATAATCCCTAGGGTTAATAAGTTTGGCTAGATTCCTCTGCATTTACCGTGTGTTGAAAAACTGTCATTCCACAACTCGCTCCATCGGCGGTTGTGATCAGAGAGTGGTGTGAACTACACTTTCAAACCTTGTAGGAGTATCAGGGCAAGCAAGATAGCTTTTAAAGAAATCAAGAACAATGTCTTCAACAAGTAAACTTGAGTCTTTTGGTGTTCTAATTTTATATAATCCTACTTTATAGTTTTTTACGCTTTGATTGTGAAGTTCTATGAGGAAGGAATCAATTCCCCATATAAAAAATTTATGTTAGCAAATTATAAAATGTTATTATTCAAATTAATAAAATAAAACTTTCTTCTAAAATAAAGTTAATATAAAAAACAGCATTATGAAAATTTGACCATGTGGAAGAAAAACACGAACTTGTCCAGAAATAATTGGTCAAAGAAAGGGATTGGCTTCAAATTAGCATCATAGGCGGCAACGGAATTTCTTGTCTGCATTCCATGTTGCTGCCCAAATCATTTGCGTCGAAAACATCTGAATAACATATTAACCACGACCTCACCCTTTCGTTTTCAGGGAATTTTTTAATAAAGTCCCTGTCTTTATTTATTGGTGAACTTCTTTTTTATTTATTTACACTCCTCTTTTTCACCATTTTCCCCTCTCTTTCTTGATGCTGTTTCCGAAGGATTTCTCATTGGCAGAACAGAGAGTCCAAAAGTTTAGAAAAGCAAAAAAAGATATATTAATAAATAATTATATTTATTAAAGATTATTTGTAAACTATTCAAGTAGATGATTGCTATTACAAAATAGTTAAATGATTGCTAAGGAGATTTGGTCTCCAATCGACTTTTATAGTAAAGTCGGCAATTGATTTTAATAAAATAAAATTTTATAGTAGAGCTTTACTGCTTTTTTCTCATTTACCATTCGAATCAAAGTAATGAATAATTTACCGTAGAAGAATCTAAAAAAAATCGACAATTAATTATTTTCATTATTGATTTTATTGTAATCATAATTCAAGTGACATTAATTTTAATAAGTGAAATTTATTATATGGCAAATTAATTTACCGTAGAAGAATCTAAAAAAAATCGACAATTAATTATTTTCATTATTGATTTTATTGTAATCATAATTCAAGTGACATTAATTTTAATAAGTGAAATTTATTATAAGTCCAATTTGCCAGCAATCATCATTAAGTATTGTGTGCATTGTTGTTAAAATTTCAATTTATCACTACGATTTTAGGATTTTATTTCATCAAAACGATTTTACTGATATTCCAAACGCTTTTATGTTTTTATGATTTTTTTACAATTCTTTTACATTATGATTTTACGTTTTACAATTTTTTTAATTTCCTTCCGATTTTACTTAAGATTTCGATTTTAACAACATTGATGGTGTGCACCCAATTATACGTACGTTTCATTCTATTTACTGTTACATACTTGTATTTTCTTTATTTTTCCAGTGTCATTTTTTTTTCCGCCTTTTAATTGTTTGGCATGCTGACCTCTTTTCTATGTATCTTTTAATTGCCGAACACGTGCATTATTTTCAACATGTTGGTTTTGATCGTTAGAATGTTGACTTTGCTAAAGAGTATTCAATATGCTGCCACATGCGTGGTGCCTTCTTTCTGGGTTCCATTTTATTGGTGCGATCACTTAACAAAATGTCTTCTCATCCTTAAGGATCCATAAAACACGTAACAAAGCGACGCGTTAAAAACCTTTGTCCTTGGCGGCTACGTAACCTAGTCTTCGTCGTAACATAAATTTTCAATGCCAAAAATTTCCACTAAGAAAAAGTCTATGTCGTTTTTTAAATATTGCACCGTACCAGTAACAGATGGCACCATAATACAATAACAACAGAACCCGCATCTTGTCATAATTTTCAACGTAATAATTTGTGGCTTCCCATTGGGTCTGTGTGGTATATTTATTGATTTCTTTGTAACATTATGTTAATGATCTTCTACAGGTTTCCAAAACCAACGGTAACAGTTTCCGTGTTTGGCAAGTTCATCTTTTAAAGAAGCTGTTATTATTTCTAGAAGAGAAGAAAACTAAGGGCAAATATAAAGTGCGCATCAAAGAGACAGAGTGGTCTTTAAAGCCATCATCACCTGTAGAATGGGTGTTAGTGGCATAAAATTGAGCCAAGGGAGATAGCTTTTCAACTTCCTTTTCTATCATTTTCTGAACTTCTAGAGCTTTCTGTCCTATCTTCTTTCTCTATCACCCCTTTCAGTGTCCATCGTATTTTGGATCAGTTTTACTCTAGGTGATCCTTACCTTCATTTGATTTTGTTGATTACGGTCTATGACTATAAAGATTTTTTTAATTAGAAGTTAAGTTTGTTGCTGATATTCTTTGAAGTATTTCATCAGAGTATAAAAAACCATAGACAGATCTTTTTTAAGTCATATATATATTTCTAATTGTTCTTGTTCCCCCAAAATGAAGGGCTCAAATAATCAATACCCATTAAACTCTTTTTCCAAGCTTTTCAATATTCAACTCCACTTTGTTCAATTTCTTACTTATGTGCTCATTTTGGGGTTTGGAGTAACCTTTGGAATCATCATCAGTTTCTATCTTAAAGACTGCACCTTAAGTCTACAATTCACTCAGTTGTCACTCTCTGCCTTACCGCGAACAACGCCAGCTTTGCCACCACCAATTGCAAAACCAGAAATATCCAATCACAGTCACGTAGGATTGAAGGAGTTCCTTAAGATTCCTCAAGTTATGCATGATATGGATGATGAGGAATTGCTATGGAGAGCTTCAATGAATGCAAAGATAGCTGAATACCCGTTTGATCGAGTTCCCAAGGTGGCTTTCATGTTCTTGACAAGGGGTCCTGTGTTTTTGGCACCTTTGTGGGAGCAATTCTTCAAAGGGCATGAAGGGTACTACTCAATTTACGTGCATTCCAATCCATCTTACAACTTATCGAACCCGGAGAGTCCAGTGTTTCATGGTCGGAGAATTCCCAGTAAGGTTAGTTTGTTTCTTCTTAAGTTACTTGTTTCATATAATATTGTTCTATTGCCTTGATCTGAATTATGAAAATGATTATTGTTTGGATAATTGAGATGAGTCATAGTGTATAGTCCTATTCAAATGTCTTGTATATTTGTGTGTAGTTATGTAAATTGCTTAATAAAAAGAACAACTAAAGAAAAACCAATCCAGAGGGAAAGGGGAAGAGGAAAATAGAACACAGAACAGAACAAAACAGAGACATTTTAATTATGAAATAAAATTGAGCTTGTGACGTTTGAGCGTTCTTCAGCATTTTCCAAGAAAAATAAAAGGATCATTACAAACCCATCCCACTTGAATTGCCATTCGGCAATCCCATATATTTTAACATTTAAAATGGTAGCTCATGAAGCCCAAAGTTAAGGCACCCCACAACAACTGGTAACAGCTAGCTGCTACTGTATTCGGCAAAACATTACTAGATTCAGTGGATCCTTAAAAGGACAATGATATTTTACTTTTTTTAATGTTAAATTTAGTATGTCATTTCAATTCTTATATGGATTGATTTATTTCTTATCAAAAAGTACTCATCACTATAAGAGTCTCGCGTAGAAAAATAGAATAAAACAGTACAAGAGTCAATTCCCTTAAGAAAATTGTCCACAGATAAATAGGGTACTAGTTTTGATTTCATTTCCATTTGTGAGTTTTGTTTCTGATTAGGCCATAGATTTCTAATTCCAGCAATTTGTTTCAAACTTCATTTGGTATCACATAATGCAGAAAGTGGAATGGGGAAATTGCAACATGGTTGAAGCTGAGCGTCGCTTGCTGGCCAATGCACTTTTGGATATCTCAAACCAACGTTTTGTTCTCTTATCAGAATCATGCATACCTCTATTCAACTTTTCCACCATCTACTCTTACTTAATGAACTCTACCCAAAACTATGTCATGGCTTATGATGAGCCCAGCGCAGTTGGTCGCGGCCGGTACAACTTCCAGATGTTGCCTGATATCAACCTCAGGGAATGGAGAAAAGGTTCCCAGTGGTTCGAAATGGACAGAGAGCTTGCAGTAGAAGTAGTATCTGACAGAAAATACTTCCCAAATTTTCAGAAGTACTGCAAAGGTTCATGTTACGCAGATGAACATTACTTGCCAACATTTGTGAGCATCAAGTTTTGGGAGGGGAATTCAAATAGAAGTTTGACTTGGGTTGACTGGTCAAGGGGTGGTCCACACCCAGCTACATTTGTGAGATCTGAGGTGACTGTTGAGTTCTTAGAGAATTTGAGGAGCAAAAAATGCGAGTATAATGGAAACGGCACCAATGCTTGTTTCCTGTTTGCTAGGAAGTTCATGCCCAGTACTTTGTCAAGGCTCACCGAGATTGCACCAAAGGTTATGCACTTTGAACATTACGATAGGTATAGATACAGAAAGTTATCACTAAAACCAAATTTTTAATTCATTCTTTTCCATCTTGTAAGCTTTTTCATTAATTTAACTGGTAGACTTATTTCATCGATACACTTCATTTGCATGATGGATCTCAGTTAATGAGTTTTTTCTATGGGAGATATGAGAATCATGTTGCAGGAATGACACTGTTCATTTCTGCAACAAGGATCCGGCAACGTATCTTGAGGATACGGCGTCGTATCCTGATTTTGGTTTGACTTTTTTTTTTTAAGCGTGGGACCCACACTTGATTTGTGTGTGCAAGAAAATGGTCTTGTCATGTGACATGACAAACAGCGAACCCTTTTTCTATTGGGTCTTATATGTCAGTAACAAAATCAAGAATCGAAACCCATTAAGGTAGTGTTTGGTAGAAGATTTATTTTGGGATTGATGGAAAAATGTAAGTGGATATTGGAAAATAACATGTTTGGTTCAGGTTTTTGAAAAAGATACTAGGCAAATAGGATAGATGGAGAAATGACTTTTGTGTTGATTTTTGGATGAAATTCATTGTTACAGAATACCACTTGAGATGTGGTATTTTGAGATAACTGAGGAAGTGAAAAAATAGGTGCGAAGTTTCTCCCGAACATAGATTTTGCAAATTTAAATAAATTTCTCTGGTAATATTTCAGTCAACCAAACAACTTTTTTTACATTTTTCTACCAAATTCATTTTTCAACCATTTCTCTAGTAATTACATTTCCCTAGTATTCAAAAAATTTATCTTCAACCCAACACCCGGGTGTTTGGTTGGAGGAAAATATTGAGATAGATAGATAAGTGGGAAGTGGAAAAATGGCAAAACCATGTTTGGTTGACAATGCTTCCATACTTACCTAGCCATATGACTATCCTACCCATCCTGCTTGCATGTGTTTTTTCATGGATTTTGTCGACTAAACAACCCCCTTGATGACATGGTATTGCTGAAAAGCAGTCTTGTTTCCCACATTGCAATTAAACCAAAACACCATTGACTTTACAAAAACAACGTGCTACAGGGTATATGGGTAGCAAGGCTGAATACTCTTTTTTAAAAAATAAAGGTATTTTTGTCATAACACATTTTTTTTCATCTATATTTTATCAAAATCCAAATATAGACTTTACAAAAGTTACCTAATTTACCCGGTAAATTTTTTTCCTACCAAATAACTTTTTTTACATTTTCTTACCAAACCCACTTTCCAACCATTTCTCCACTAATCTTATTTCCTTATTATTTATAAAAAAAATTCCTTAACCAAACGCTCCCTAAAGGTCTTCTTATATCTGGTAGTTCTAGTCTTAACAAATAATTAGACCACAAAAAGTGTGCACATGATGAGAATGCACAGCACAATTCATTTGAATGTTCCTTGAAGGTAAATGATAACAAATCCCAATCAAGTTAAATTTTGCTAATAATCAAACTCGACGTGCTTTTCTTTAGAAAGCCATCTCAGACTATGTCAACAATTATTTAACCGACCCAATGAATGTCTTCACCAACCAATGCTAGTCATCAAATTTATGAAAGGAAAGCGCCATTACCTACAATTAGAGCCTCATTTACTCTAAAAACATCATTTCACGTTGCTTTAATTAGCAGAAAAACTTAAATGAAAAATTAGCTTAGTATTCAGGAAAATGGGTAAAAAGGATCATCAAACAAAGATGAGATAAATAAAAAGTAAAAAAAAATTGAAAAAAAAAAAATCCCAATAATCTGATTTACGATACTACCTTACCTCATGTGAAAATCATAGCTAAACCCCTCCAAAGTTTACTGACTAGTTCCGCACGCATCTTCACACAAGGAAGGTGACTCAGACACCGAGTCTAACGTGTCATGACACGGCGACACCTCGACCCCACGCAGATCCTCAATCATCTTGACCACGTGGCTAATCCTGGGCCGTTGATCAGGTGCAGCTGCAGTACAGGCCATAGCTATCTGCAGCAGCCCCACCATCTCCTCCTCAATATCCTTGTACCTCATCAGCTCCAAATCAAACACCTCAGCCGTCCATTCCTCTCTCACCACTGACTGGACCCACCTGGGTAGATCCACGGCCCCACCATAGCCACTACCTGGCCCACCACCGTCCACAGCGGAGGGACATTTCCCTGTGAGCAGCTCCAGCAAGAGAACACCAAAAGAGTACACGTCAGATTTCTGGGATTGTTTTCGACCGTCAGATACCTCCGGAGCACGGTAGCCGTTAGATCTTCCGCCCGCTGGGCCCTGACCCGGGCCCGCGAAGATAGATAGCCCAAAATCAGAGACGCGTGCATTTCCCTGCTTGTCAAGGAGGATGTTAGTGGATTTGATGTTACCGTGAGTGAGCCTGAGTGACTTGCATGAGTTGTGAATAAATGCCACGCCTCGTGCCGCTCCTGCTGCTATCTTGAGCCTCGTGGTCCAGTCCAGTGGGGTTCGTCCGGGTCCTCGGTTCCCTGTCGAAAAACACACCAATTCAACCATCAGCTTCAATATAATTACCCATTTGACACCAAATAAAAGGGTTCCAAATTTGCAATGGTGAGAGACTAGTTTGCACTTTTTGGTCATATTCATTATTCGACCGGTAAAAGATAAAAGGAAAAGGCCAAATGTTGGTTCAGGAAAAGAACATAAAGCAAGATACTAGTTGTATTCTGTCTTTTATTTTTAATGAAAAAAGTGAGTCCGAGACAACGCAAAGTCAGTCCAGTCTGCATCGTACAATACAATAGTCCCGATTCCCAGATGGTTATGATTGTGCAGCTACTGTCCTTTTTAACAGTTCCTTTGTCTCAAGTTGGTGGAAAATGTATTAAAAAATTATAGGGTTGTAAGGGAAGCAGAAGAAATAGGAATACAGATCAGTGGTCATAAAGAAAGCGTTCAATCCCAATGACATGGGTTGATATTTTGAAGGAGCCTCAGAATGGAATGGACCCCTCCCCCCACACACAAAACTTGCTACATTAATGCACGGGTTACCTACATTGGACGGCAGGCTATCTCGTATCCTTGCTCAGAAGACCGTTATAACACATGGTTGTTAACCTACATGCTTGCCTCTCTTGTTGGGTATTTTGTTTATGGCTGGTGCAAGAAGAATATTGGGATAAAAAATAAAAACTTCAAAGTAGGAAACCCATTCTTCAATTGACTGTCATCACCTAAGGGCAACTAAAGAAAATAAAATAAAAAAGTAATGTAAACTAGTCCTATTATAATTTTATATGAGCCAATTTGTGAGCAGCGAAATTAGAAAATGATGATGAGAAATGAGGGTACCGTGAAGGAGCCAGAACAAGCTGGCATTGGGCATGTAATCATAGACGAGGAGCTTCTCCTCAGTTGCAAAATAATAAGCCCTCAAGCTTACAATGTTTGGATGCCTTAGCCTTCCCAGCAGTTCCATGTGCTGCTCGAACTCCCTCTTCCCTGCAATCTGCGCATCCTTCAATCTCTTCACCGCAACAACACTTCCATCATCGAGGACCGCTTTGTATGCAGTCCCAAACCCACCTTTCCCTAGCATTTCAGCTGAGGCTCTCAGCAAGTCCTCCAGTTCAAACCTCTTTTCTCCTTCAAAGAACACCATTCGACCCCTCTCACACCCTCCTTGACCAGGATACGGACTCGATGAATATACAATCTTTTCACTCTCAAAAAGCTTTGATCCTTTCCCTTCCTTCAACTTCGCTGAGTAGTTTCTCCAGAAGTAGCAATACAGAAGCAATGAAACTATGCCAAGGACCAAAACATCTCCCACTATAATGATTATCAGTGCCACTGGGCTTATTTTAGAACCTCCATTTTCTTGTTTTTTGCTACTTGATGCTCTTGGCATTGAACTCGGTGAAGATGACACACTTGTTGGGGTGTTGCTGCGTGACATCACCGGCGAAGCAACGGCACCGTCGGATCCGGGTTTGCTCGGGTCAGCGACAGCCACGCATTTCTCCATTGGGGCTCCGCAGAGAGATGGGTTTTGCCCGAATGAGGATACGGGGAAACCTGATAACGATTTCGGTATCTCGCCGGAGAGGCGGTTCCCGGAGACGTTGAAGTCTTGCAGGTTGGGAAGGTTCACATCGGGAATGTAGCCGGAGAACCGGTTATCGTCGAGACGGAGAGTGAGGAGGTGAGTCAAATGACTAACCGTAGCAGGAATCTCGCCGGAGAAGTTATTGTGGGACAGATCGAGTCGGTACAAGCGGAAAAGCGACGTGATGGTCGACGGGAACTCGCCGGAAAACTCATTGTTAGACAAGAAGAGTAGCTTCAAAACGGTTAAGTTGGAGAGACTCGGAACGGGACCGAAAAAACGGTTCCCCTTGAGGCTGAGGACTCGGAGCTGAGTCAGAGAAGTTAAGGGCTCAATGGAACCTCGAAGGTCGAGGTTTTCGAGAACGAGTCGCGAGACTCGGTTTTTGATGCAGGAGACGCCGCCCCATGTGCATGGGTTGTTGCTGGTGTTCCAACTTATAAGCTTCTTAGATGTGTCTGAACCAGTTTTGAAGGCAACGAGAGCTTCCAAGTCTGGGTTTATCGACCCTTGAACCATGATAAGAAAATGAAAAACCACAAAAGTAGCAATGAGGCGCAAGAGTGTTGCAGCCATTGTTGCTCTGCAAATGCACAGAGAGAGAGAAGAAGAAGAAGAAGAAGAAGAAGAAGAAGAAGGAGGAGGAGCGTGTGAAGTGAGAAGTGAAGAGTAATGACTAATGCGAATGTGTTTGTTTTGTAAAGGAGAGTGTTAAGTTCGTAATTAATGAGAAAATGAAAGGGCTTAACGGCAAAGGAGCGGGAGTCATACATAATTATATGGGTGGTGTAAGTGTAAAGAGTTAAAAGGTTTAACTGAAAAAGCATGTTGCGTTAATGCGTTTCTTGCTATTGGTGTTTAAATTGTACTGACACGTTGCTGCACCTCAAAACACCCTAACGTACAACTTTTTACTGCTACGTTGAACTTGAAAGACAATTGTACCCTCTTTGCTCTTTAAAATGCTTAACCTTCCCATGGCTCTGATTTTTATGATCAATACTTGATTATTCTGTACCGTTTGATGTCGAGGCTTTTTTTATGTTTGTGATTATTGTTTCTTCTTTCTGGCTTTCAATTTTTTTATATTATAGATCGGCGATCACCTTCATCTTGTTCTTGGACTTGCTTGCACATGCTGTCTCAAATTTTTGTGATTCATTACATTAAATGCTTGTGTTTTACTCTTTTACGATACGAGTGTTTCTTCTGATTCTTCTTCTCGGTCCTTTTCTCAATCTGTTTTAATTTCTTATTTTATTTTCCTTGTATGAAGTACTTAAAACGAAATTTTAAGAAATGTATATATAGCTATGCAATATGAAATAAACAGCAGAAGGGGCGAAATGGAGTTGAAGTATAATACTTGGTTGAAAAAGATAGATCTTGGACTGAAAAAAAGGGGATTTACGGACACAGATTGTTATTTAATATTTAAAAAAAACATTGCATTAATATTTTTATTAATTCACTTTTATATAATAAAATAGAATATTCACGGTTAAGAAAAAGATATTATTAACACTTTAAAACTTGTGACCAACCGCACCCAATTTTATTATGAATCCCACTTGTCGGCCTTAATTGTGAGGCAACAAAGTCACTGGTGCTCTTATGGAAGCTAATAACAACTAGAAAGTTATGTGCTTTATTTTAATATTAAATTCAGCAGATACCAGAGAACGAGGAATAGTGACTTATGTTCATCAACTTTTTTACTTAAATATCACGCGAACAGTTTTATTTTTTAATCTGTCATGGGGACGAGTTTGCTACCCGGTGTAGCGAACTCGGTTTGCTGATGTGTCACGTTTCTAGTGGACACCAAGTTCGCTACCTTCAAACTTTTTTTTTTTAATTTGGTACTTGTTATCCACTAGAAATGTGACACGTCAGCAAATCGAGTTCGCTACACCGAGTAGCGAACTTGTCCCCGTGACAGATTGGGAAATAAGACTGTTCGCATGACATTTAGGTAAAAAAAATTGATGAACAGTAGCACTTTACTCACTGTTCCAGAGAATGACGAATTTGCCAACAAAAGTGGGCACAGTTGGCTAAGAGTTTGGTCCATACCCCTCAAGGGCGTAGGTTCAAACCCAGCTGGCCGATGTGAGGACTTTGTTGGTGGGTGATATGTAATCCCTCCCAGAAATTCTCAAAGAGGTCGAGGGGTCTTCTCTGACCCTAGTGGGATACCGGTATCTAACCCCACTTAAACTTTTTGTTTTTCAAAAAAAAGAAAAAGAGAACGACGAATTTAGGTATTTAAAATCCCTATAGCCTATAAGTGTGCATTTGAAAAATTGGAGTGACTTAGTGAGAGATCATCGATATCAGACAATGGCTTTAATTTATTGTCTCCAGGTCGAGCCAGAAATTGAAGTATACACGTAGATTCAGAGATGTGCAAGACCGCAAGTATTATTATCTATTGCGAGATTTCAGAATAAGATAAATAAGAGGACTTTGACTTGAATACTTTTTTTAGTTATTGGAACTCTAATGCGGCGGTCAACAAATCTTACCCTGCATTGTTTATATAGTTCATAAGCTCGTCCTTAACTTAAGTTAACTACAAGATACAAGGAGTAAGTGTCTACCGGATTTGGTTTAGATATAAACAAGCATGTGAAGTAATATTGGTTTTATGTATGCAGATACTGGTTTCCAGCTATATATGCTAATTAATTTTATAAGTAATATTTTTATGGACCCTTTCGTCTCTGCAGAAATGACTAATTTTTTACTCGAATAGAGATTTATATTAATTGAAGTACATGAAATTTGTAATCCGAATGTAAATCCTAATTGAAGTTAAAGGTTTATCAATCTGCCTTAATTTTCTTTATCCTAAACTTTTAGCCATTAAAAGAAAAGAAAAAAACTGATGTAAGTTAATCATTACGAGCGCGGGGAGTGATTGTCGGTGCAAAGAGGCACGTACAAGGAGCGACTCCTGATAGGCTTCCAGCGGGGGTTACATGCATGAATGAATCGAATCGACATCCGAAATAGAGGGATTCCAAAGGCTGTGCAAGTACGAAACTGCACAGTATGAGATAGCCTATAAGAATTAATTGGTACTACCTATGCTAACAAGATGCATCTACTTTTCGGTAGCCGTGCTTGCCTTGGAGCAATTCTGGGATGGGTGACCTCCTGGGAAGTTTTCCCGGAAAGTGTGCGAGTGAGAAAAAAGCACACTGAAAAGTCTCATGTTAATATCTGAGAATAGTCATTAATTCTTGAAGCGGCCGGACGTTACAATCAATCTGCCTTAATTTTCTTTATCCTAAACTTTTAGCCATTAAAAGAAAAAAAAAACTGATGTAAGTTAATCATATTGAAATAAATCATAAAAGTTTAATATTCATTTAACTTTAGGATTTGATTGGAATTGAGGTAATCAAGAAATAAAATAAAAAAGGAAAAAAAATAAGATTCTAAAAATCTAATAAATGTAAGTTGTTCGGAGGTAAAAAAAAAAATTTAGTTAATGCTTTTTAATAAATTAATTACGCATTTATTACAGTTTTGGAAATAATTAAACATTTATTGTATAATATGACGCTCAATTTGTGTGTCACTAAAGACGCCTAAATTGGGCGTCAGTCAAGAGAAAATCACGCCTAATTTAGGCGTCACTCATCAGGTGTTGACACGTGTCCTTTTTTTTCCCAAAAAAATAATAATTTAATCATAAAACATCTGAAGGCCATAACTTTTGACTCGGGTATCCAAATCAGGTAATTCTTTTTTTGATTCCACATAACTTTTCGAGATCTACGCAATGACATCTCATTGACATATTTTATTTCTCACAAACATAATTTAAATTTACAAGAATGGTATTATAAGAGCGGTTAAACCCAGAAGTTTCTGAGTTCTGCATTTGTGATTTGAACTCAAAAATCAATTTGAAAAATCTGTAGAAATAAAGGAAATAATTAAATAAATATTCTAAATCTCTAAGGAAGAAGGATATTATTTTTTAAATTAATGATTAATGCTATAAGCTTCTGGGTCATTATTTGTGGTCTGAAATTAATTATGACTTATGAATGTTTTTCAAAAATAAAATTCTCTAAATTAGGAGTTATTGCCTCTTGATTGAAACCCAATTTAGACGTCATTGGTGACGTGTCAGGTGTTGACACGTGTTGACGCGTGTCACAATTTTAAACTCAGAAGCTTATGAGTTCTGAGTTTGTGATTTAATATAAAAAATAAATCAAGATTTGATGTGTGATTTAAATTAAAAAAATAACAATTATTATTAATAAGGAAAATAAAATAAAGATTTGATTTGTGATTTAAACTCAAAAATTAATTTGAAAAATCTGTATTAATAAAGAAAATAATTAAATAAATACTCTAAATCTCTAAAGAAGAAGGATTACGTGATTTAAATTTAAATTATGTTTGTGAGAAATAAAATATATCAAATGAGATGTCATTGCGTAGATCTCAAAAAATTATGTGGAATCAAAAAAAGAATTAACTGATTTGGATACCGGAGTCAAAAGTTATGGCCTTCAGAAGTTTTGTGATTAAATTATTATTTTTTTGGAAAAAAAATATGACACGTGTCAACAATGAGGTCTAAATTAGGCATAATTGTCTCTTGAGTAACGCTCAAATTGGACATCATATTATGCAACAAATATGTAATTATTTCTAAAACTGTAATAAATGCATAATTAATTTATTAAAAGTATTAAATTAATTTTTTTTGCCATTGTTTGGAGCCTCTGGACATTTATCTTGGGAAGCATTTCCACACCCAGCCGAGAGAATCACTATAAGGTGAAAAAATTAGAAGAAGCACGAAGCAAAAAGGTACCTCCATCAACGACTTATTGAGTTAATTTATGGATCTATTTCACTCTATTGTTCTTATTTAGCGTTAGTGTGAATTCTTTTATTTTTAGTATTTCTTCTTATAAAAAAATGTTACGTCGAACAGATTTTATGAAAAGATTTTTTATTTTTTTTACTATGAAAAAAAAAACTAAAAGTCAAAAGCTCTTGTTGAATTATGTATGTTTTTTTAAATGAAAAGCCATAAAAATAAAGAGAGACTTTTCTTAAAATATATGTTTTTAACTAATTTTTAAGTTACAAATTTTATATAATAATCAAACAATTTTTATTTTTTTAAGCTTTTTTTTAGTTTTAAATTAAAAGTAGTTTCTAGTTTAAAAAAGAGACTCTTAGACTATTTCTAATTAACATGGGACTTGAATCACTGAAACTTGAATTTTCAACACTCTACACTCTCTGTAGTAGTGTTGAACAACTTTTCTTTTTTAGCCGATTGATGAACCACTTGATACACCAGTTGACTTGGAAAATGTCTATGGAAGTCTTGGCGAAAAAGGTGTGGTGTGGAAGATTAAAAAAAGACAGATTCAACAAGACAAAATTTTCATAACTAGGAGTGCAGAGAGTCACAGTAGACACTTTACGTAGCGGAATTTAATATCTTCAGCAGAAAGAAGTACAAAAAAGCGGGAGACAAAATCAGTGAAAAAATAAAAATAAAGGTCATTCTGATCGAGTAATTAGAATTA